TAGGGCTATGCGCCTCGGGAAGGGCGCCTCGGGAATGCCGCGCTGGATAGGGATGTGCCGCGGGAAGGGCGCGAGTGCGGCGCCCGGCCGCATCGCGCGCGCCTCGAGTACATAAACTTTATGTATTTATTAGCACATAAATTTTATTTACGTATTTATTTATTTATTTTCGCGTTTGCCTCCTGGCGGCCCCCCGTGGAGAAGCAGCTTCGCGGGATGCCCGTGGCCGGAGGTGGCGGCACCTCGGGCCTCGCCGCACCTGCAGCCATCTTACGTGGCCGCGGCGCCGGGACGGGGCTGCCGGTGCCCCCGAGCCCCCGCGTGTCCCCGGTGCGGTGCCCCGGGCTGGCACCTTCCTCGGAGTAGCGGCCCCTTCGGCGGGTCGCACGGGGACGCGGGGCCTGGCTCCGTGCAGGGCCTCCATGTCCTCCACTGGGTTTCCAGTGCTCCCTGGTGCGGGATTAGCCGAGCGTCCTGCCCGCTACAGCGGCCTCAGTGCTGCTGGGTGACTCCAGGCTCCGGGAATGAACAAACAAACAAACAAATAAATAAACCCGATTGCCGTCGTCCATTAAGGGAGGATGTACGTTTTGCTTCAGACAGGGTTTCTGCTGTGTGTGTGTTTAATATATAGATGCATGACACACCTGTTTGTTTGTTTCCTTAATTCCTCCCCCCCCCCTTTTTTTTTTCTTTTTGATAGGAAAGAGCAAGAGGTTGACTCGAAAGATGCCATTATACTGCATCAATTTTCGAGGCCTAACAATGGTGTCCCAAGTTTAAATCCTTTCTGTCTGAAAATGGAAACTTACTTAAGGATGGCTGATTTACCCTACCAGGTAAATTTGGACACTGTTTCTTCATGTTGCAGTTATTTATAATCACATGAAATGGCAAATAATGGAAAAAAAAAAGTCTTGCCTCGTGGAAGGAAATGTAAAACGTACATACAAATAGGTGGGTAATCTGCTGCTTGCTTCTCTCTAGCTAAATTTGTGCTGTAACCTTTAAGGGTATGACTTGAATAAGCAGATTGGTCTAAGCAGTTCTAGGTTTAATTGGCAAAGCTGAATGGGTGTTAGAAATTAATCCCGATTAGAAATGCTTAAGTGGGAGAGTAGTATGAAGGTTATATAATGCCAAGTAATACACTAAAACTAAACCAGTGTTATTTGGTCTCTGATTTTCACGATGCCAAGGAGATAAAGATTGTACAGTTGAAACTTCTTGTTTTCCTGGAGGGTTTCCCTCTTGTGCTCTCCTTGAAAGATGTGTCTTCCTTTCACTTAACCTCCTGTCACTGGTGCTTCCCCTCGGATGAAGGAAAACAGGATTGTTTTTAGAGGTCGCGAATCTTGTGTTTTAGTAGCACTGGGGCCCCGTTGAGCAGAACCTGGTGCCATCTTTCCACAGGGGATGAAGCTCAGGCTGCTGCAGTGAGTGCGAGACAGGAGAGCAGCATCTGGATCTAGCTCTCTTGTTTATAAAAGTCAAGGTTTAGTTGCATTGCCACTGCTTTGGCTTTCACAATTCATTGCAGAGTTGGCAGTGAGGTTACGCGCAATTGCAAGACACAGGGTGAGTTTTTTTTTTCTGTTTGTAGACGTACATCATGTGCATTTAAGATGATACAACAGTACTGATAAATATGATAAGGATCCTAGGCAGGAGAAATATGGGAGAAATGTCTCTGTTTTTCAAGTGGAGTAAGTTTGGGACCTGACTTTGTCTGAAAGGGGCTGAGTTGTGGGTAAGTTGCACGCTCACCCAAGATAGGTTCAGATTCTTTTTATTTTTAGTGCATGTCAAGCTATTATGAAGGTTGCTCGTTCAAATCTAATGTTTTGCAAGGGTAAAACAAGGCCTTTTACAATTTTTAACGTATTTGTAACTGATATCCTTCTACTTTCTAATCTGATTAAAACACTCCTAGCTTTTAAAGCATGAGATTTAATGTCTGTTATGTTAAAATTAATGATGCTTGAATCAAGTCCTGCAGCATATTGCAGAGAGGTTTCCAGGCCACAGGATACATTTTCCTCAGTTTGTTTCACAGAATCGGTGAGATACTGAAGTTTGGACAGGGCCAGGAGGACCTAAGATGTATTACTTCTCAAACCTGTATAATATAGAGAGAAACTGCACATTTGAAGGGAAAACTATTTTTGGTGGAATCTATGTTCTGTTTGGCAGTTTGTGCGGTTTGGAGGTTTGGAATGATTAAAATTGCCCTAGTGGAGAGTAATTAAAGTTGCCATATAAAAGATGATTGTCACAAATTTGATTATTTCTGAAAGATAATCCTCTACACTTGGGTGCTTCAGGATGGAGTCTTTTAGAGAGGGAAGGCTTTCCAGAGAGTTTTTCTCCGCTTTTTATTTTTGATAAGGAATTTATCTGGTTGCAGATGAATCACTGCATTCTGCTGTAGCCTCTCTTCTTTCTCCCTGTTCCCTTTAGGAGCAGTTAACTGGCTGTAGGTGCATAAGCTGGTGTAGGTCAGCACGACCCCCCAGCAGTCCTGCTTTTCAGTTCAAGTGCTGTTCCCTTTTGCCCTTTCCCAGCATAGGAGCAGCAGTCCGGCCTTTCAGCCTGCTTTGGCTGTTCCCTTTTGCCCTTTCCCAGCATGTGTTTTTCTGTTCCACGTGGCAAATCAGGCCGGGAAGCCCATGTAGGTCAGCACGGAAACAGCCAGAGTCACGACCGAGTAGTTTATGTAGTTCCAGCCCGGGTCTGCGCTCTGCTCGCCGTGCAGCCCCTGGGTGTCTGGGGGGCTCCGGTGTTCCCTGTTGCAGCCGGTCTTCTAAGCGCACAAGTGTTTTCAGCCTGTCTCATTTTAGAGAACCTTTTTCTCAGTGTAAATTGAAACGCTGTCTTTAATTTTGTTCTCTCATACTCTGTAAAAAAGTGGAAATACAGGCAAAATGCAGGAATCTAGGTGGAGTACAGTCGTCTTGTGGCCTTGTGCTGAGGTGGCCACAACTGCGGTCTTGACCGCAGTTCGGATCAGTCATTGCGTCAAGCTGGTGCTTACACTGCTGGAGGAAACCTCGCTTTAGGCACAAGAAAGAGCAGTATTTAGCAGCAGTGGTCCTGCTTCCTGTGGGTCACTTTGTCCCACCCTGCTTCATGCTGCTCAGTAGGGAATCTTGGTGTCTGTGGCTCCTTACGCAGGAGAGAGGTGTTTGGCTGGCCTGCTGTAAGAGCATCTCATCCCTTGTTCGTTAGGTGACCAGCCATAGATTGGATTTTAGAGTTGGAGCCTTTTTAGAGGTGCAGGTAAACTTGTGAGCTGAGGAAACAGCTTTTCTCATCTGAAAGAAGCAGAGATTCAGTTCCTGTCGTTAGGAGTGCGGTGCTGCTTCTGGCTGCGGAAGGCAGGGCCGGAACAGGAGCAGACTGCAGGGGGGCTTTAGGAACACCTTGTTGGAGGGTAGAAGATAAACACAGTGATTTGGAGCTGGAATTAGTGGCCTATGGGGAATCTGCTACCCAAAGACTTTCTAAATTTTATTTGGGTCCCTCATCAGTGTGTTACCAGCAGGCCACTGCAGGTGACTGCAGGGACACTTGCTTCCCTAGCTGTTTTTTTTTCAAAGTATATGAATTTGAAGCTCTTCATAAAGTTTGTTTTGAAGGAACCCATCTTAGGTGCCTGTGGGGATCTTCAGGGGTTTTCCTATGGATATTAAAGTTCTGAGCATTTATATGAACTGATTAGTATTAGCACAGCAGAAACATGCTGTTTCCTATGAGATCTAGGAAAACGATCATCTCTTTGAGAAGATGCATGAAGAAAGGTAAGACATAAGCAGCAGTAAATTGGAAGTTGGAAATTTGGAGCCTTAGTTTTTCTAGAGACTACTATAAAATGACTCCAGAGTGCCTTATGCTATTCAGTTTATAAATTCCCCTATAAATGAGCTTCTCAGGAGCTTTTATTAAAGTTGCTTTGTAGGCTGCATTTAATGTACTATGAGAGGGCTTTTGTCTTTTCTTTTTTTTTTTTTATGGTGATACCAAAGTTTCTTCCCCGCTTTGCAGCTGGCCAGTTTTTAAGTGGAAAGTTGATAAATATTTGATGGCAATTAGTAGCAGCTATAAGGATTCTGAGGTTTCAAACCTAAAAATACCTACTTGAGCACAGTGAATGTAAGAACAGAATAAGGGAACATTTGTCCAGAGATTAAGGTGGTCTTAGATCGTCAGAAGATACTTTCTGTTTTGTTTGATAAACTAAATGTAATGACACATGAAAATCCTGAGCATTTTTTTTAAGTTTACCTAAAGCAACTTTCCCATAGGAACCCTAGTTTTTAAAAGTAGCATTAGTGAAGGACAAAACTTTTTTTATATAAAAAAACAAACCAAAACAAAAAGATGTGCTTGAATAAGCATGTATTTATGTAGAAAGAATGTACTTTTTCTGTAATGCAGAGGATATGCAGAATGCAGAGGATAACAGTAATAAGGTCCAATACCTTCTGCAAAACATCGGTGTTTGTTATACATAGTTGTACAGTGAAGGGTATCTCTTACTGAAAAGCCCTACGGACTTAAATATAGGTTAAGTGAGCAGGGTTCAGTGTGACATACACACATTACACCTCTCAAGGAATAAAGTTCAGTAGATGAGACACTGCGTAACTGGCCCCTCCTGCCGTAATGTTTGCTTGGGCAGAAGGCCCAGAGGGGGCTCCAAGCAGAAGGCACTGTGTTCTTCCCAGCAGTGTGACCCATTCCTTCTGCTTCGATCCAAAGGGAAGAGCTTCTGGAGGTGGACACGCACTCGCATGGTTGAGCAGTGGCCAAGATGATGTGTGTTCAAAGAGAGGGCTGGCTTGGAGTTGCATTCTGGTGTCTGCTCTTGGCTGCATAATGAGATACCTTAATCAGCCTTTAATGGGGCTACGAAGGGGAAATATTTGAGATATTTTAGATGCAATTAAGTCACCACACAACTGCTAACCCTAAACCTTCAGAGATCAGGAACTAGACCCTAAAGTACTTGGGGTGACTGCCAGGGATTGAGTTCAGAGTGCCTTTTATTTGTGAGTCTGTGATTCATGTTTCTGAGCTAGGATTTTCTTTTCTCTTTCTAAATAACAGCACACCAGGAGTTGAACCCCAAGAAAGGAAAGCAGTTCTGCCTTGTGTCTCTACTTTCAGAAGAAAAAAGAGAGTTGAAGTCAAATGCCTGATCACATTTTGCAAGCCAGGAATTCCTGTAGAGCTTGTCAGAATGAGAAATACATTTTCTGTTTAAGCTCCATGTTCCACCTCCTTCAACTGTAAAAAGCAGAAATACCTTAATATTCCTGTAGGAATGCTACATTAAGAAGATGTATGGGTACAACTAATGTTGTACTCGGCAAAGGTGCTGAACTCCTGTAGATCCAGTTGTAATAAGCGTGTCTGTAAATATGTGAAATTTCTAAGCTATGAAATTTAGGAGCATGTGTAAAGGCAGATTTCCCTGCTACCCAGTGAGGGGATGGTACGCATTTCATTGTACACTTTGGGGTGTGTATTTTATCCTCAGAGCTGGTGCAGCTTTCTGAACAGCTAGTGGATTAACTTTGTACAAAACTGTCAACATGAAAAGTGTTGCTTTGTAACAACTCAGAGCCAAAGTTCGTGTGATTTTGGTGGTTAAAAACTTGCTTAAAATACTGGGTCCCGTCCTCTGGGAGGTTGGAGTGTCTCCAGCCTCTTAAGTAAATAACTACTTAAGTAGTGTTAGAACATACAACTTCTAGTATAAAAGCATTGCAGGGCCTGGAAATAGCTGTTTTTATATTTTCATATAGAGTAATACTGTTGCTCTGATTTAGTAACTACCACTAGTAGAGAGAGTATTGACCTTTTTTTGGAATGTTTGTTGCATAATGTTGCCTTTAAAACGCAGAAAATTATTTAAAAAGCTTTATTTTTGATATAAACAGAATCTCAAGGGCCTTTTTGTCTGTATGTTTGTTTGTTTACTTGCTTTTTTTCTTAGAACTATTTTGATGGAAAACTTTCCCCTCAAGGGAAAATGCCGTGGATTGAATATAATCACACAAGGGTGTCTGGCACTGAGTTCATTATTGACTTTTTGGAAGAGAAACTTGGAGTGAATTTAAATAAACACCTTGGTCCACATGAAAGAGCTGTTTCCAGAGCAGTGACAAAAATGGTGGAGGAGCACTTCTATTGGTAAGCTTGCATGGTAAAGCTAGTTCTGTTCTGCTGCTGTCAAACCTTCACCTGCACTTTTGTCTGGAAATATGTGCTTATTTGTTTTGCAGGAAACCTAAAATCAGTTATGAATTTTGCAAGTTTTCTCACTCTAGGGAACTGGTGCTTCTTTCTACTCACTAGCATAAATCTGGAGTGACTGCTCTGGGAGCTGTAGCCGTGTATAAGTGATGGAAACAATCAGGCCCTTTGCCTGCAGCCTTGTAGAAGGGAGCAGCAGTGGGCTTGGTCCTGTTGCACATGGCCTTCAAAGCTGGAGAAACAGCCCTGTTAAAGCTAAAAGTCAGGATGACCATATACTTCTGTAGCTTGACAGCGGAAAGCTCCCAGAAATTACAGAATTTGGAGTTAATCCCAAATACTGTGTTCTTACAGTCTCTGCTTTTAATAATCTATGTGTGTGACTGCAATATATATGGTTGTCCTCTCACCCAGAATTGTCCTGTTAGTATGTGTTGCGACCTAGTGTGCCCGCTGGTAGGATACAGGATCCTGAGAAATACAGTGTCCAACTGAAGTACATACATGAACGAAAATCTAAAACTGTTGGTATTAATACATTTTACTCTCACCTTTACAAAAAGTATCTGTTTCTTTTCTCTTCTCACCCTTCACATTTTAGTCTTTGCTTCCTTGTCCTTTCAAAAGTGGATTCATAGAAGTGAAAGATGGACACAGTGTCTTGGATCCTGCATGGGATACCTGTGCAGGCACAAGGCTTGCTCCCGGTAGTTTTCTATGCTGTTTTCTAGCTTGTGTTTAAGCCCAAGCTCTACTTTAACGTGACACGTGTTGCTGTTCAAGTCATTCTTAGTGTTGCAGGGACAATGTTAGCATTTAGCAGACGAAATGAAATGATATGGTTTAGAAGCATAACCCTTCTTTCCAAACTCAGACCATTGTCTCTTATACCCAGTCTGCAGTGATATATCCTCAAAAATCTAATTACCGTTCCCAGACTTCAGTCATTTGCAAATACGATTTTTTTAAAATTGTATTTTCTTCCAGTTAATGGAAGGGAAGATAAGGTGTTTAATGCCTCCTGTCTTTAGTCCGGGTTGTTCCGTGGTCTGTGGAGTTACTGCCTTGAGTGTAGCGGTGTTGGTAAGAACCGTTCCCAGGCTCTGCGCGTCCTCGTGCCGGCTGCCCCGGCCCCGCGGGGCGCGAGGCGGGAGCTGGAGGGAGACGTCTCGCAAAGTCACGTGCGGACTCGGACAGAGAGATGGGCAAATCTGAAATAACTCAGGATTTGAATGCACCCGGGTGTGCTTCCATGTGGCCTTTTCTGTTTAATCGCAGGACTGAGCTTCACTAAGGCACAGAAGGATGGTGAGAAAGTGCCCAGGTGCTAGTGTGGGCATTAAAGCCTGTCTCTGGGATGCAGGAGTGACTGAAGCAGGCCCTGGAACCCCTGTCCCTGGAGAATGCCTAGCCTGTTAAGCTGTTCCTGCGTTTGAGTGAGGCGGAAGAAAAGCCTGCTAACTAACCCGACGCCTGAGAGAGCAGGGAGGAAAGGATGCAACCCAGTTCCTCAGCCCAGGTCTTGGCTTCTCACCTAGCGTCTTGGGTCTGGCTTCAGAGCTCGTATGAGTGCCCAGCTCTTGTCTTGGGTTGTTTCTGTGTCAGCCATGTGCAGCAGTCAGTGGGCCACTCGAAATCAGCTGGGTGCCACACGGCCACCTTCAGGATGCTCCAGTTTTCCGTGTATCCCCAGCACATTAGTGGGATTGGACTTTCTGTGTAAGAAAGGCCAGAACATGCCTGATTTCTTAGTCCTTCCTACATTTGCATGCTGGGCTACTTGGTGTTGCAAACATAGGAAACCTGGGAATCCCTGGTGCTTGGACTAGTCATAGCTTGCAAATACTTTCTAATGCTTTAGTCTTAGGAGAGGGATCTTGAGGTCATTAACACTAATGCGCCTATCGAAAAGCTAAAGCTTTGAGCTTAACCAGTCTAACCCATTAGGTTGCCTTGCTTGTGTTGTCAAACTATAGTTTTTTAAAAATATATTTATGTAACTCATTGCTTGTTTTGTCTTTCAAGACCATGCAAATGTGCCCTCTTACCATGTTGTCCAAGATGGATGTGTGCAGGGAGTGCCCGAGGAACAGGGAACGCATGATATGGTGATATAAGGGAATTCAAACTTGGCCATGGTTTAAACAGAATATAAACAATGTTTAAATACATCAAGTCAGTTATAACAGTGCTGTCTCTCCTGCTGGTGGCAGTGATGAAGGTTGAGTCCTGCAAAAGCCATTTACTCTGGAAGCTGCATGGCGAGCAGGTTTCTACAGCTACCTGTGCAGAGACTTTGTTGACATCCTTTGGTACATCAGGAAATTCCAGCCCACAAACTTCGACCTCGCACTGGATTCAGATGGGAAGAATAACCCCCAGCTCACGTCATTCTCAACGCCCCTCCCTTGCCTTGCTATCTTTTTTTGTATTTTGGTTTAGGGATGATCAGGCAAACCACTGTTGATGAGTCATGTTTTCCATCTCTTCTTCCAAACTTCATAAAGAGGCCAAAGTTGCTGCTATGTCTGTACTTCAGATTTATTCCTTTCCTATAGCATTATTCTTTAATGTGTTTCTGTTGTATTTATAGTCTGAGAACTGTACAGATGTTCTGGCACAAATGGAAATGCTAATGTTCAGTTCTCACTTGAACTGAGCTAATGCTCAGTTCAAGCGAATATTTAAAATAATTATGTGATCACATAACTACTAGCTATACTGCAAATTACATAATTAGGCTGGATTAGGCTACATAGACTACCTGATTTCTGCTATTTCCTAACTTTTTTGTAGCTTTGCCGATGTTCTGCTTATGCAACTTGAGGCAGAGGGATGACAGGTGGGATTAAATACAGAGGAACTTTTTTTTTGTGATGGAAAGCACAATGTAATCAACATTTGAATGGAATTATTTTAGTAAAGTGCCTGGCAAAGCCAGTTCTAAAAGTGGTTTTAACTTTGTCTCTAAATCTGATTCTGCATTTTTCTTTGCCTGCTCAGGGCCATAGTTTTATAGGAATAAACTCATGCTGGTCTGGTTAGCTGCATTCTTTCTCCGTGCAAATTTGAGATTTGGGGCCTGTGACGACTTCGCTCATTGGAGGTGACAGGAACACATCTAGGGCTGTGTTTAGGCTCTAGACAGGATCACCTAAGTCCAGTGGCTTCTGCTTTCCCTGCATCGCTCTCAGGATTGTCAGCCTGTTCATCTGGTCTCTGTCTCTTCCACATCCAAACCCTTCCTGCCCCGGAGCTACCAAGTGGGCGCTAGGGCAGGGTCTTTTTGTTTTACGGCGCAGACTAATTGGCTTTGTGGGAAACCTCCCTCATGCTGAGTGCTGACATTAAAGCTGTCCTAGACAGGGTTGCTGATTCTTGGTGCAGTGCCAGCCAGCAGGTGCGACTGGGGCCGAACGATGGTCGTGGCAGCTCTAAGGGGCCAAATTAGTTGTGAGCGACCGGAGGGATTTTTCAGAGGCGCTAGAGCAGAGCCTCCTGCCTTCTCTTTGGTTTGCTCTCGCTTTGCTCCCCGTGGCCAGCTCCGTTGCCTTAAAGCAGCTGGACTGTGTTGCAGAACCCCCAGGAGAAGCTGATTTCCTACGTGCTGGGGAAAGAGGGTTCTTGGAGCGACACACACAGCAGTGCTTCTGGAGGACGGCTTTTCTTAGCTTGTTTAAGTAATACAAGTAATAGCAGACGTATGCAGAAAATATTTGTAGTTATTTCCTAATGTTAGCAGCAAGACAAGACATTGTCTTCCTATTCAAAGTTGTGGCTGTCCAAGGGATTTTGTCCTTTCACAGGCCCGTGAAACAGCAGCTCTGAAATGTTCTGCATTATCAGAGACCTGTTTGCTTTCAGCGCAGTGTTATTCCATCTTTGTTAATTACTGTCCCACCTTTTGTATCTGTCATTGGACTAAAGCAGTGTTGTACCACATCTCTTGACCCAAGCTAATGTTTTGTCACTAGCTGTTGACTCCTTCGCTTGCTGGCTCCGTGTTCCTCCTTTTATGTTGATGCCCCTCTCTAAAACTGGCATGCTCTCAAGCTCCACTTTGCTGATACTAGCCCAGCAACTTAACCAGAAATCAATATGTTGAAAAGCAAGAAGGCTGGTGTAAAGCACTTCCATTCGAAGGGCCGTATCAAAGCATATGAAGCATCAGTGGAATTTTTTTTTCTCGTATGAATATGATGCAAGAGCTCATGGAGAATTTTGTTGAGGATAAAAGCCATCCACAACACAGCAGGCACATTTCTGTTGCTTTGTGTTTATGCATTTGCAGCAAAACACACGCGTGCCTCACCATTCCTGGCTTAGTGACATCAAATTGAGAAGACAACATTGGCCTGCAGTGGCCAATTTGTAGTAGAACTGAAAATGCCTTTTGTGCTCTACATTGCTATAATTGTACATTTAAACTGCAGGTGGATTGTTTATTTTTTCAGCTGTTATGGCAAATATTCTCCTTTTACCTCATGCTAATGGTAATTCCTCAGATTTTGCTTTTTTGTGTGTGTGTTTTTGTTTTTTGATTGTTTTTCTTTCTTGAATTTCTGCTCAGTATAGACACTAAGGAAATAACATGTAATTAGCAATATGTGCAGTGATAAAACCAAGTCATATTGAAAATGAGAAAAACTGCGTTCTGATCATCTTGGAAACGAAAGAATTTAATGTAAAGATACTGCATATGCAAACTTGCAGCTTTTGATATTTCAACTTTTCTGTGTAGTGTCACTTGTTTGTTATATCTCTGTGAGTCAGTTCACCTAAAATCTCGAATGTGCAAGTCCACTTCTAGATTTTTCCATTTGGAAACTCCTGAAAATACTGTAAAATAATGGCTATAAGCTCACAATGTTTGAGATCCTATTTGCTTCACATATTTTTTCTCATATACTTTGAGATGTAATTATCTATATCCTTTTTTTTTTGCAGTTTCCTGTGAAATTAGTGATAGAAGTTGCGTAGTCTTTTTTATTTCTTTAAAATGCCCCTTATCAGAAGGTATTAAATATTGGAGAAATTAATGGTTATTTTTGTACAAGTTTTTTCTAACTAGCAATGACAACAAACCATTTTTCTTTTTCTTTCCTTGCTAAAACAGTGAAGAATAAAAATTCATGTTAGGAAATGAAAATTTTAGCTGATAAAAGAATTCGATAAATCATGCTTTCAAGTTAATATATTTGCTATTCAATGAAGCTGAAATGCAACAAAATCCCTAAGATAAACATTGTCATCAGGTGGTTAAAAAAATATAGGAGATAGCCTAATTTAACAACCACCTCTTTAATTGTATGTGGGACTTTTGGGAAAGATTGTGTCATTGCTAGTTTCTGTGTAGAGCAGCGTCTTCTGAACAAATGACTGTTAGAAGAGTGTGTATTTTGGGGCAAAATTGCTGCATTGCTAAGTTTCAGTAGTACAAAAACCGAGAGGAACAGGTCAGTAGGACCTTGACTTCTTGAGAGGCTAAACACTGGGCAGTGTGTTGGAAATCCAGTTGTACTCTCTGGAGTTCTCGCTGACGCTGTGAGTTGCCCTCAAGGTCTGCTTTTTGCCAGCAAGTAGCCCTCCAGGTCAGGGCAACGAGCACCAAGTTGTGAAGTATAGAGGAAGGTCTCTAATTTCTGCAAGAGTCTTTTGAAGTGCGGTGATGGGCGGGCTGACTACTGCACTGGTTTAACTTATTTTCCTGTCCTTCCAGGACTTTAGCGTATTGCCAATGGGTGGAAAACCTCCACGAGACCCGAAAGATGATTTCCATGTACGGCCCCTTCAGTGACTTGCTGAGGTGGATTCTCTGCCATCTGACCAAAGGGATCGTGAAACGGGAGATGTACGGCCACGGCATCGGCCGCTTCTCCGAGGAGGAGATCTACGCGCTCATGGAGAAGGACATGCGCTCGCTCGCCGGCCTCCTGGGTAACGTACCCCGTGGTCCCCTCCGCAGCGCCCGGCGCCTGCCCAAACCGAACCCCCATGGATCAGCCCGCTCGGCTCAACACCGGGAGCACACGGGTGCACCCTAGGGCTGTTGTCCCGTGCTGGTTGCATTCTCGCAGGGACAGAGCTGCTTTTCCTGCTGCTTGCTTGTTGCTAATCAGTGTTCCTCGAGGGGTGAGTGTACCTGTCGATGTTTTCCTGAGCTCCGGTGTCTCTTTGTAGAGAACAGAATGTGGCCTGTGATCTTTGGAATTGCATCCTGCTATGTGAATTAGGAAAATGCAGTGTTCAGTTCTGGAAATGAAACCTCTTATTTATGCTTCGGGAAATCTCATTTTTCTTAATGGGACTCATGACTATTTGATGGATCATTATGAGGCTGTCCTCTGAAATTCCTTTGCAGATGTTATTTTTATGAGCTGGAGTGTGTTGTATGTGGTTGGTGAAAGCTAGTGGTAGGAGATGGGTCAGTACTATCAGAGTAGATGATTTAAGGTTTGTTGCTTGTTGCTTATGGCTTCTGTAGAGTTAGTCTTGATGCTGACCTAACTGAGCTAGTATCATATCTCTTTTCTGATGTGTAACCGAGGCTGAAATATGTAACAGAGGTGTTTGCCTTGTGCTTCTTGCTTCAGAGTCTGTTGACCCCTAATTACATAACATTTTGTATAAAATTAGCATTTCAAGGAATTGTTCTGGGGAAGACTGTCCCTTCCTTTGAGCTTGCCTCTCCCTAGCTGCAAAGAGATAGGAAACACTGAATAACCAAAATGGTAGTTTTGAATAAGCCAGTACCCAAGAGAGGTGGTAGCTCTGTTGCTACTTTGTTCTCAGTTATGATTTTTCTAAAGAGGTGGCTGAGCAGATGGCAGGAAGGACGATGCCTCCCAGCCTCCCGTGCTGGTTCCTGCACTTTCCTGCATTACAGGCGGAGGAGAGGTTACATATGCTCTGGATAGGTAAGGGTAGTGTGCATGGGGAAAGCAAGGGTGAGGAGCGTTCAGCAGAAAGCAGGAAATTGTGCTTGCTGAGAGGGAGAAGGAAGAGGCTTCAAGGCTGGCAGCGTGTGGATAAACCCCGTGGAAAGGAACGGCGTTGTGAGAGAGCTGCAGTAGCTTCAGCCTAGGGCTTGGGAGTTCAGCAGAGCCCACTGGTTCTGGCTGGACAGTCTTGATAGCCTGAGCTAAGGGATTTTCAGTAGCAGTGGATGTGTCTGTGCTGGAGTCATCCCCAACTGCCAAGAGCAGACATACATCCATAGTCCAAGAGAAGACTGAAACTAACTCCTGAACGCTCTTCAGAGTCTTCTGCTTTCTGTAGTCAATGTATTCCTGTGCATCTCCCACACCCAGTTTCTCTAGAGTGCTGAGTACTGCATGAATTACATGCTGTGGCAAGACAGACAGATTTCATCAGCCTAGTCTGATCATTCTCAGTCTTCTGATCTTTCCCTGGGTCATACACGGGTGCTGCAGCTCAGAGCAGAGCTCTATTCAGAGTGAGCCTAGCCCTCGCTGCGTAGCACATGGGCCTGCAGAAGTTGTGTGGCTATGACAAATCAATCCCTTTCTTGTTTGTAAGCATCACTGAGTTTGCATTTCTGTAATTGCTGTTTAGTCTGTCCCCTGGATTTATCTGCAGCTTTCTGTCTCTGCAATCTACGTTGATTCTCAGATTTTTTAATATGTGAGGTTGAAAGGGACCATTAAATCATCCAGACACATCTGCGTGTGTTCTGTCCGGAGGCTGCTCTCTTGTTTCTGGCTAAAGCATGCCTCTCCAGAAGGCATCCAGTTTTGACTTGAAGATTTCAATAGTGGAAATGCCACTGCTTTTATTGGTGACAGCTGTTAATCACATCAAAATGTCCATTTTAAATAGAAATTTGTCTGCAGACTCACCTCCTGGGTGGCCTCTATCATCTCCTGGAGATAAATGCTGTAATCAAATTATCTGTCTCGTGTTTGGTGGGAAAAGTAGGTGGAAGTCTTCAAGCATCTCCATGATGTATTTCCTTCATCTGTTGAACATAAAAGCAAACAAGAAACCAGAACTGTTTCTGTTTGCCTCCTGTTGAGTATGTTCTCTGTTCCCTGCTTATAGGTATTTATATTCTTCATATTTGCATTCTTTGCTTGTAGTGTCCTGATTTCCTTGCTATTTGCCACTGTATCAGTTTTTTAGTTGTATGATACCTGGATATATGCCCATGTGTTCTCCCAGAAGAGACAGCAGTTTGGAGTTTGACTGTTAATTAGGAGGCAATATTAAGCGCTCGAGAAAGATGTCTATAATGTAAAATAGCTGCATGTATTAATAGCTGCAGCTGCCAGTCATCAGGCATCTGAGATTAATTTAATGCTCCCTATTTTTTAGCAGAAAAAATACAAATGGGAATGCAAATAACTTTTTTTAAATTCCAAGAGCTGCTTCCAGAGAGTGATAACTTGACAGATGCCTGGTCTTGTGACACTCATTTTGACATTCCCAGACACATTTTTTATTCCTTACATTTCTGAGAATCACTTTTTTTTTTCCTTCTCCCTTGTCCCTCTTTCCTTATTAGACTACTGCACATTTCCCAAAAACGAGAATCAGAACGAAATCCCGCTCTTATGGACCTCCCCGTGGCATCGCCTCGCACTCCATCCTGCAGTCTCTGGATGGCAAATACAGTATTCAGGCAATACAAGGAGAACGCGTGTGCCTCGCAGGGCCTCACGGCAGGGCTCCGAGTCCGGGTTCGGTCTGGGCTGGGGCGGTTCAAGTGAGGTAGCCGCGAGGTAGCCGCGCAGTGACGGCAGGCGCTGGCCCGCGGCGCGGGTGGAAGGGGAGTTTCCAGGCACGGAGCTCCCTCCCGAGGAGGGCAGAGCTGCCGGGGCTGCGCACGCCAGTGTTTCCACCCGCTTCCCTCTATCCCTGTGGCATTCCCGAATCCTGCGCCTTTGCACGGCTGTGTCGCTGGGCCAGACGGATGTGATCCAGCTCGGGCCCCGCGTGTGGCGGCGCCTCGGTAGCGTTGGCCACGGGGTGCAGCGAGACCTTTTTAAGATGAGTAGCGTTTTGTCACCCCTGAGAGGACAGACACTGTGTAACCTGGCACAAAATTAGGTTGCTGGGTTGGTGTTTTGGGCTGTGAGGTGACCTATAAAAAATGTACTGCTTTATGGGAGCAGTTCTTTATTTCTTCTTCCCCCTCATTTCCACTCCTTTCAAGTAAAAGGTGTTGTATACCCAGAATTGCTCTATTTACCAAAGAAAGGGATAGCTCAGCTCTCCCCTTAGCTGCAGTAACAGCTAAAATGCTGCATTTCTTCCCAGCATGACATCGTTATGAGCTGATTCTAGAGCTCGGTTGCATGGTATTAAATTTTCCTAGTGTTGGCAAGTGAAATGGTCTTTTACGTAGCATGAAACTGTGGTTTGGGGGCCAGCTTGAGATCAGCGAATGCCAGATACCGCATAAATACTAAAAAGTACTTAAAACATTTACCCTGCACATAGTTTTCAGGAAATAGATGATGAAACTAGGAAGAATTGGAGAGAGTTTTATGTATTTTAAAGATAGTCCCAATGTGCTGTAGGAAGGTATCATTACTGCCTATTCCTGAGCGCTGCTTTGTGGCACGTTATGGTACACAGGGATCACAGACTGGGTTATACTGTACTTTGGGATTTGCTCCATTTTACTGCCGGCCATTTTTTCTGAACCCACTTAATAACCCTGACGTTTAATAACCCACTGAATTGCAGGCAGTTTGAATTGGACAGGTAAAGAAAGTCCTAGGGAGCTGCAGTAACTGGATTTAGAGAATTCAATTGCATGCCACATTTCAGAGCTTATAGCACTCTGGGCCAGTGGAGGGACAATTCAATCCTGTAAACCTGGTCTCAAAAATAGAGCACGTTTCATTTGTATGTCCTACTTGACTGGGCTCCAGGTACAGGACCTGCTCTGCAAGGCCACCTCACACTGGATGCGTTTTCAGCAGCGGCATCTTCTAAACGTGATTTTATTCTTTCTCCTGTTTAGTTGGGTTCCCAGGATGGGAGACGGAACTAGCCACGGCATGGGCTAGTCCAGCATCTCATCAGAGAGGTGACAGATCGTAGGGGGGAGCCCGAGCAATGCACTTAATAAACCTTTCACAGAACTGTAGGACGAATCATGCCGTTCAAGGCTAGAGGAACCAAGAGCAAAATGCCCTGTTCTCTGTTCCTGTAGTTTAGGCAGTGGGATGTTTCCAGGTAGTGTGGAGAAAGCCTGCCTTGTTCTTGTCTGTGAGGCACTTGTCTCTTAAGTCTCCCTAGGGCTCTCATTTTGGTGCCTTCCACAAGCACGTAGTGCCTGCATTAGGACTGAATTTGGGAGTAGTTTGAGGGGAGGGAAAGGGAAGAAGAGTCTTGTAGCGATAGTCAGAGCAATGTGTCATATGAGAAGATGCTTGGCAAACTTCCTCAAAGCTCCAGGCTGCTCATTCCTGCCTAGAGCTAAGTCCTGCTTCTAGATGCATTGGCCTCTTCTGCAAATGCTACCACGTGAACTGCTGTGAAAAAGCTCCGTGAGAGGAAAGCTTTGGGTGCCACTTTAACTTTCAGTATGATCAGAGGGGTGAGCAGAAACTGGATCAGCAAGCATGGGAGATGCAAGGTGACCAAATTCTTTCAGCAAGTGCATTTAGTATGACTTTAAGTCCATACCCAAGGAGAAGATGATGCTTTTGAGCACCTTCTTGAGATTTTAGACACAGCAGAGCTAGTGCAGTGTGTGTTCTTTGCCTGCTCTGGTGACCAGAGGAGGTTATTTGGCCACTGACTCTATAACTGGCCTAGTTACAGAAGTGATGGATATGGAGAAATCACAAAATGGATTTCACCTCAAGTAATAGCTTTTGAACCATATTCTTGAACCAAATTTTGCACAATATTCTATTTAAGTCATGTTGACTTCCCATCTTTGAACCCCTGTATCTTAAGAAGCATAAAGGTTCTCATCTAAATCATTTCAATAAAATGTTGTGTTAAAGATGTAGTCAGGGAAAGATCCAGTGTTCTCCTGAGGAGAAGTGACAGCTGTTCCACAGATGTTTGCTATTGTACTTGCAGGTGACAAGAAATACATTATGGGACCCAAGCTTTCCACTGTTGATGCTACTGTGTTTGGGCATCTGGCACAGGCCATGTGGACGCTACCAGGGACTAGACCAGAGAGACTGATCAAAGGTAAGAAAGTTTAAATGATCTCTAATGAAAATCACATGGTGGCACTTTCTGTGTTTAAACTTGGAGGACATCTGGAGACTGTGGGAGCACTTGACCTGCATCATGGGCTGTTTTTGCCTTTGATATCGCGTCCTATAGAGTTGTCTTCAGATTCTTGTTTGTTTTCACCTTGATTTCTATACTTTATGATTTACCTGTTTAACATAGCAAAGACTGGATACCTTTAAGGAGTGAGTGTTGGTAAGGTATTAGAAGATGGAAGCACTGCCATGAGCCACATTCTGCTGAGTAGAATTGAACTGTAGGTTCTGCTATTCCACTGAAAATAGAGCCTTTGTTATTACTAAGGATACAGGATAAGGCTTTATTTTTAATTTTTATTCCTTTCCTTTCTTGTGGAGTGACAAAAATATGCCTTGGCATCCCTTTCCAGGATATACTTGCACACTATTAAAAGTGGGAAGAGCTAGGAGAAGAAGGATGTGAAACAGTTGTAAAAGAAATGAGCGTTGTCTGTAGAATCACTGTGAGCAGGAGACAGCTGCTAACAAAGCCATTTGGAGGCATGGATTTGCTCACTGTTAAAACATTGCACGAGCTAAAAATACTTGAGATTGTTTAATGGAGACAAGGTCCTTTTTCCTTTTGACCTCTGAGGGAAGCACAGATAAAATTCTGAGGGGTCCAAGGACTTTGAGAGGAAATACTGTGTTTTTTGACCAGAGTGAATAGCCGATAGTGGCTGCAAATGCTCAGGCAGCAGGGACAGATCTGCCCGTGCAGCTGCTTGGGCTGTGACATATCCAGACTGTCCGTTTCCCATACTCATTCCCTTGACCAAGCTGTGACTCCTTTGCTCTTCCTTGAGGTTTTTCTAATCGGTTCTCCCTCAAAGCATGCTGTTATTTATGTACATGAGTGTATTAATATAAGGCATAGTGTACTCACATGGACTAGAAGTGAGCCAGTGAGTACAGAAACACCTTAAAAAGCAACAAATTTATCTTGTGGACTGTGCTGCCATCTGGTGGTGCAAAACCAAAACGGTATCCAAATTCACTATACTTCAATAAATGAGTTACATATACTGCGTATATGAATTTGAAAATTCTGTCTTTGGACAGAATTAGGTATTCCTAATACCTAATTCCTAGGTATTCCTACCTAATAAGCAATAGTTTTTATTTTAAACAACTTGTGATACTAGAATTTTGTTTGCTACAACTATTTCTATAAAGGTTGAATTTGGGATAGTTATTGTGCCACATGTGTTTATGTTAATTTCTGTGTAGCCCTTCTTATTGTATGTAGGTTAATAATATATATTTTAAGTTACATGAAAGTTATAAGCACTGTCACAAAGAACTGATTGGGTCTTGGTCTTTTGAAGCAAGGTTTCTGAGGCCTCTTTGAAAGAACCTACACAATATATTTCCGAATGTTTTAGATGTGTTTCTACACCTGAAGGTGAGTCACAGCGTTGCTGGCTGTGCGTATTTACTGGGGCCTGTTGTGGTGTGTTGCAGGTGAACTGATCAACCTGGCTATGTACTGCGAACGAATAAGGAGGAAATTCTGGCCCGAATGGCACCACGACGATGATAACACTCTGTATGAATCTGAGGAAAGCAGTGAGACAAGCAAGACTTACTCCCCCTTGCAGGACTTCAGCTTTTATTCAAGGACAGAAACATTTGATGAGGAAGGGACAGAGAACAGCATTTCCCATACCCCTGACACTGATTACACTGGACACTCGCTCTTTGATTCGGATGTGGACATGGATGACCAGGAACAGTGCAAGTGACGTGTACGAGCAGCTCCCCTTTGCACACATGCGGATCCCTTCTTGGGATCAGGCTGGTTGTTTTTTTTTTTTCTTTTTTTTTCTTTTTTCTCTCTTCTGGGTTCTGAAGAGGTTTGTTTCACTTTGGAAAAGATCATTGTGCTTGCTGTGGCTGTCACCTGCTGCCTGGACTATTCCAACCTTATTTCATTTTGTGTAAGTGTTCAGATGGAATCAAGGTAAATGGTTATTAAAAACACATGGGAAGAACATATGGGAAAACTGGAGGTCCAGAGGGAAATGGGACTTCTCAGTCTACGTTTTGTTCCCATTGGAAAACAGATTCCCAAATCAGGTGGGAGAATCCTCCAAGAAGCGGAGCATTTTTAAGAGCTGGTTTATATTGAGATCTTACCTTCACACAAATAGGCTGAGGACAAAAAGGGAAAATGAGTTACTGGCACATCATTTCCCTGGGAAAGAAATAATGATGCAATATTGATTTGGCAAAGTTTTGAGAGGCTTTTATTTGATGGCTTCCAATACTCTAGGTGCGTAGGCTGTTACAGAATATATACAGGAAAGAACTGCTGCTAATTATTTATTTTGGAGATAGTTGAGAAAGGCAGGAGGAAGACATGTTGCTGAAGAAGGCAGCTGTTTAATGTTTCATGTTATTTGCAGAAGTTTGAAATCTCCGTTGCTTTTATGCAGGAGGAATGTATTACCTTCAATGTATAATCTCCCAAATGCTCATCTGGAAAGTGCATTGGCCAAAGCCTACCTCAGGCATCGGAATTCCTTGTATGTTTTTGAATGATCATTATGTTCTTACTTCCTGCCACTGTCTGTTGTCTGCTATTGCCAGACGCTGCTAAAGAATTGGGATTTATTACTGCAAGTTTACCGCAGCTCAGGAGTGGGTACTTTATGCTCTTCACACGAGGTCTGCAAGACCGTTTTGGGCGCTGCTGGGTGTGGGATGCTGCGTAGCCGCAGGATGCTGGCCCAGGCAGTCAGCTGGCCTGCAGCTGGCCTGGATGGTGCAGCTGGGAGTGCGCAGGAGCAAGCTGTGGCACACAGCTGTGTCCGTGCTGCGGCCTCTGGGGATTCCCAGGGCCCAGGCAGCAATCCCAGCTGAGCTGGTAGCACAGCTGGGAATCCGGAACACCAAATCAAGAAGGGTTTTGCGGGTGCTGATGTACCTCATGTTAATGCCTCCCTAAATGCGTGTTAGAAGTCGGACTGGATCTATAGGATTTATTCACCTGCCTGAAGCTGAGCATGAACACCAATGGTGCTCGGCCTTGACTGGCTGATAAAAGCAGAAAGCGTGTGGAACATAAAGACAGTTTTGTCTTGTAAACATCTGAGTAATACCAGATATTTTACGTGCAAACTTTGACAGTTGCCCTTTAAAAAAATAGTTTCACTTTAGCTTTCCTAGTAATTTACAGCAATGAGGATCCCTCAGTAAAATTTTTAAATATGTTGGCTGTGCCACAGGTTCTGGGAAGAGCCGGGGTGGATGATAGATGCCTGGGAATGTAAACTGCAGGCTGTCTTCATAGCCTGGACCTTAAAATAAGCAGAAGCATTGTGCTGCTTGCAGAGAAAACTCCTCATGGTCGGCGAAGTGTCTCCTGGGCACAGAAGTGGCCGCTGCTGCCGGTAGCCCAGGGCTCGCTGCTTCCGCGCTCCCCCGCGCCCTTCCCAGAGCCAAGGGCCAGTCAGAGATCCCCATCGTCACGGGTGGCTGTCGTTAGCAAAATGAGTCAAAAATGGGAAGGGGGAAAATGTAGTCCGGTTACTTGGGGCTCTTCCCGGCAAAATAAGCACAGGAATAGGGCGCGGATATGGCTTGCCTTGAAGCAGAGGTGGTGGGCCAGAGTGCCTGGGCAGATGTTAGCTACAAAACATGAGTCCTGGTATTCTGAATGAGTGGGATTTATGTCAGGAAAACCTGCTTTAAAAGTGCTCCAGAGGTCAGCTCTAAAGCTCCGTATTTGAAGGCTGTGCTTTCTTGGCATTTTTTGCATTAGGAGAGTTTTATTTCCAGGCTTGGTGGTCCCTGCTGGCAGCAGATATGTGCCAGCAGGAAAGTCTCAGCTGTTAAAAGACCAGCCGGAGTTCAGGAGACAACGTTTTCTTTATAAATTTACCAGCCTGGCGCATCTGTCTGTGACAGCCATGTTTCTATAATCCTAAAATACAGGTTAACCAGAGATCAGTGACATAATCTTACATGTTCTTATGCATATAATCTTACATATCTTACATTCCGCATATCTTTGGCTACATCTAGATGTCACATGGCTGCACACAGCAGCAGGCATAGAAGTGGTGCAGTTCCAGTGTCTGTGGTTATCTTTCCCCAGTATCTTGAAATGTTTTTCAATGGGTAGCTGAAAACTGGGTTCCCAGGATTGCTTATGTGATGGATTTGGTGCTATTACACAGTGCTGAGTTTAGATGAATGAGAATCTGAATCAAGATTATTCTTCTTGGTGTCTTCCAAATGTTGAGGAGAGGAAAAAAAATTAAAAGCGTCCCTAGTCCTTTATTCCAAGTGGCTGGACTGCTAAAAAGACTATTTCCTTCCCTCATGCTTATGTCCTCATGATTTTTTTTTCTCTATGTCGTAGTAGAAGGTGGAAGAAGGAAAATCATTTGAAATCTTTACCACATCTTGTGAGGAGTATTTGCCAGAATAACATTTCACATAGTAGAAACTTAAAAAGCCGCAGACTTGTGGTAGTTCTCGTTGGAGCGCGTTGGACGTGAAGTCACCCCTTCAGCGTGGGCTCAAATGGCTTTTCTGTGTGAATGTGGCGCAGGTGGCTGCAGAGAGGAGCTGAGGCCGGGGCGCAGCAGCGGTGTCCTCCTGCTCCGCGTGCTCCGAGCAGCCGTGCTGCGCACGTGTGGGGACGCCTGGCACTCCCGGCACGGCGCGTTCGGAGTCTGCGGAACGTGGTGCTTCTGAGGGAAGCGAGGGCTATGAGAGCATCCATTTATTCAACTGGTGTGCACACGAGTAAGCCTTGATTTCGTGTGTGCAGCCCTGGGGTTAGGAGCTTAGCGCAGTGTGAGTTGAGCTCTCGCTGGATTGAGGCTGGTGTAATTTAGGGCAGAGTTTGGGTCCACGTGTTCGCGGTTTCAGTAATTCTGGTGTAAGCATTAAGACTGCCTGAAGAATAATGACTGTGTCGTGAGTTTTGGAGATGAGACAAGGCGCAAAGAAAGCGTTCGAGTGCCCCAGTGAAAGACTTACCTTCTTACCATCAACTCTCGAGTTTTGGCTTCTGCTCCAAGGGCATTTTGTGCAATGGCTACTTTGGTGTAGAAGGCATAAAATTGTTTTTGGAGCAGGAACCAGAACGCAGAGGAGCCCAGAAAGCCTGAATTCCCATCTAGGTCCTGGCAACCAGGAACTCTGCTGTGAATGTAGGGAGTCCTCAGGTCGGTTGGTTGCTTTTACAGCCAGGAATGGGAAGAGTTAACTTCTCCTTTGAAGGAGCTAATAATGCGTATTTCGAGGTAATCCCCTGGGAAGTATCATCTTCTGAAATCACCCTGGACAGAAGAAGAAATTGGACTTGGGTAACCTCAGATGAGTAGCTGAACTCCAGGGTTCAGCTGTGAAGCTAAAAGGCAAGAGTCTGAAATAGCACAGGAGAGTGGTGTGGCAGGGAAGGGGGAGAGAGGCAGGGCTGGCGAGGTGGATCTCCTCACGGGCTCTGCTGGGCAGGCAGAGGTCTGGCTGGGTGGGATCACGTTGCTGCATTCCTCCACGGTGTCATTGCAGTATCACTTCAATCTGACATTTCTGTCGTGTGAAATCTTGCAGTGGGGGTTTTGCTTTGGTTTTGAATAATCAATACGTCTCAATGGAGGCTTAACTTGACTCTGACAAGTGCAGTAACACATTTTGTTGTAGAAAAGCGAGACAAAATAAGAGGAAGGATCCAAAAGGCTTACAAAAGCAGAAGCAGCTTTTTATTGTCAACTGAGATTTTTCAATTTATTTATCAGTTAGGTGAATGTATTTTATAGCATGTCACATGCCTTCCGTTTCTTAGGAATTACTCAGGTTATTTTAGAGGAGAAGCTAGTAACGTTCTCCTCTTGACAGTTACTCTCAAATAAGTCTGCATTTTTGTGTTTGGCTGTGTTTCAGTGTAGATATGAAATTACAAAGCAGCATCTCTTTCAGAAAACATATGTCTAGTGTACTGTCAGGTTTGCAAGAAATCCGTGCGTTAATTTATCCTTCCAAAACAGACATTGACTGTTAGACTTGCTTAAGAGGATTTAGTCCAAGCTTTTTTTTTTTTTTTTTTCCTTGAAGACCGGTTTTGACAAAACATTCCTGAAAAAGAATTAAGAAGTTCCTGCAGAGTGTCCGGCTGGTGACTTTCCGGAGGTTTTCCAGGCAGAGGTGCGGGCAGGGAGCGCTCGGCCTCTTCTCCGCTCAGTCTGGGCCCGGTGGTGATCCCGGCGCCTCCACTGCCCCTGGGCAGGGCCTGCAGAAGGGAACGTAGCTCAACACGCTTCATGTTAAATTCCCTCAAGGTTGGTTAGTACATTTGTTCCTACAGTGCTCTTTTAGGAGGATAGGCTACTAATCATCTTCCTTTGGCGAAGGGGAATTTAAGGAAACCCCCGCATTTCCAATAAAGTTAAATTTAAACCCGTCTGCTTTGTTCCTTAATGCGAGCTGCAGTGCCTGACTGTGTAACGCTTTGTCACGTCAAAATGGGTTTGTTTATCAGCAGGAGCATCGCCGGCGCTGTCAGCAGAGCTCGCTGCTACCGAGCGTAGTAGTGGGGAGAACACGGGCGTTAGGGTGCAGAGTTCCTACAGAAATTGTGCAGATGTGGTGCTTGATTTAAAAACCAAACCCAACCTGATGTTTCAGGCACGGAGGACTGCTCCCTTCCAATTATAACACTGCAAGTCACACATTTTGATCTTTAAAACCATGGCAATGTCTCTCTAGATCTGTATTCTCTTTGAAAAAATATTGCCTGAAATATTTCTGCAGCAGCAGTTCGGGCACAAATTTCCTTTTGTCAATGATGTCTGCTCAAGTAATCATGACAGTTTCATACTGTTTTCATTGAAAGGGTTGTATCTGTCAAATACTAAGCCTTACAAAATATTGCCTGCTGGAGAAGTGTGTTATGTGCAGATTTATGCAGGGCAGCTCACCAAGCGAAATTTGAAGGGGATGAATTCAAGTGGATATTGACCTTAGATGTTTGAGTAATAATTTGAATTTGTGTTCTGACAAGTAGCTATTTAGCATAACCTTCCCACTTCACCCCCAAATACTGCAAAACTATGAGTTAAGCGCAGGATGAAACTAAATGCTCGTTAAACACTGAATTATGTTGGGCAGCCCAGCCGCTGGGGTATGGGAGCTGATGGACAGTGTGAGTCATGTTAATACATATCGGTGACTGCAATGTGGGGGAATATCCAAAGAGTTCCATCTCATCTCCCATGGACAGAGATGACTAAGGTCGCTCTGGATGGCCGCAGTGGTTTTCAGGCGCTCCCGTGCGCTGCGCTTTGCTTCGGGTGCTCCGTCGAGCTGGTGGGCAGAGCAGGGACCCCGCCGTGCAGCTGGTTTGCAGGCCAGGCCGTCCCCGTGCCGTCCCCGCGCCGTCCTCGCGCTGACGCCGGCTGCCTCCGGGAGAGGCGGGTTCGTCCTCGCTGCGGAGCGTGCCGTGGATCCGGCCTCACGCTTGCGGGCCCACGGGCTCCCGGGAGCCGCCGTCCCCCTCGCGCTCGGCCGGGAAGGGGCCCTCAGGCCCCTGCACCGCGTGCGCCGCTCTGGGTGGAGATGGGAGGGGGGTTTCCTTCCCAGGCTGCCGACCTTGGTCTTCACCATTCTGCATTGGTGGAGAAAGCTTTGGCCCCCTGCGCAGCTCTGTTTCAGCAGTTTGGGGCAGCTCTCTCTTTGGCTGTCATGGAGGACTTCTCTTTCATCCCTTTTCTACACTTCGTATCATGAAGTACTTCTCAGCAGAGATTTTTGCGGTTTCCCGTTGAGTTTGGAAAATAAATGGGGTATCGGTGTACAGCACAGGAATGTTAACTGATCAAAGTGTTCGGTGTGTCACTACACTCTTCACGTCCTGTTTGCCCCACTCACTAATTTTTAAGGACAGAGAAGAACATTACAGGCATTTAATTTGACTCCTGCGTGATTGTAGGATTTCATCCAGTGATTTCCCCGTTCAGTGCAACAACCTAAGGCTGAACTGGAGCATATGCCTTCGAAAGGCTTCCAGTTTTTACAAAACAAGTAAGTTCTGCCACCTTTCACTGCTGGAAGTGCTGTAAGCTTCAGTAGAGCCAGTGATTCCTACTGAGGTTACAAGTGACCAAGAATTTACTGCATCTCTTATTCCTGCTTCTGATTATCCTCACTTAAAAATGTGCATTGCCTGGTCCATTTCGGAGAGTAGGACAAGCAAGATGTGACCTTGTTTCTTCAGCTCTCTAGAAGAGCACTTTTTAAGCTTCCCTTGCTGTGCTGATGTTCTCACTGGGCACTGTGTTTGTGTGTGCTCTTCCCTCACTTTTTACTTTATTATGACAAATCTTTCCTAGAATGTACAGGTCCTTATTTTTCAGGATACTTGAAAAATGCAGGTCCCTGAGTTTTTATCATTGGGATATGTTATCCAGCAAGAATAAAGTGTGTGTGTGGATATGGGGGGAGGGATCATCCAGCTATATACAGTGTACAAGGTTTTACTAGTAATATGAAACAACACATTACTACATGAGGACTTAAATGCTATAGCTGCATTATGTTGTTTGTCTATGAATTACATGAGACATGTTATTTTAGCACTGTTATTACTACTAGTTTATAAAGCCATACTTAAACTTGTACACTTAATTGTAACATAACTTGAACTTGTGCACTGTGTTGATTTGTGTATATATATATATGAAAATCTGTATATTTCGTCTTTATGCTGTATATGTCATTGGTGTGTAAATTACAAGTACTGGATCTAAAATACCTCTCTGGTTCGTGTCCTTATTCTGAAAACCTCTCTGCTTTCTGCAGACCTATAAACTCAACTGTGCTCTCTTAAGCGTGGGAGGGGAAAATACCTGAAATTTCTATAACAAGTGAGTTAAGCCCAGACCTCCCAGGCAAATACCTGTGGACACCAGCGTGTTTGGATCACTCTGTCACTCTCCATCTCTCCCGCTGGCGCTGTCCTGGTGCGGGAAGGGTTTCAGGCACAGGAGGAAGGACAGTGGTTAACCTTAGGCATGAGGAGATATCCCTGCTCCTCTCCCGATTCCACGCTAATGAAAACAGCATGAAAATAAATAATCCTGAGAACAGGATTCCGTCACAGGGCACGCAGGCCACGTGGAGGCCGGTGTCGCGTCCTGCCGCGTTCCTGGTGGCTGGTCTGGAGACTTGAGGTACCCAACTTGGGGCTTTGACAGCAGGGGAAGAGGTAGGTAAGTGCACTTCACCCACCAGAACATTTAAAAAGTTTCAAGTTAGGCCCTGACTTACAATGCCATTTTGGGCAGATTTTCAGTTCCTTTGGTTGCCTTGCACTTTTATGGCCTGTAAAATGGATATTTTATTTTATTCTTCGATAAAGACTAGAAGCTTCAACTGATTTAATAAAAATTAAGTCCAGAAATGTATGCTTAGATTTAAATACAAGACTTCAATCATTAACTGATACAAATTTGGAAGAGCTGAGAACATTTTTGATCCAGTCAGTTCTTTCTCGATGCCAGTGTCTAAATTCATGTGTATGTGAAGTACCCACAAATTGTGTTTGCTGGAGTTCCCAGAACTTTAAATTATGACACGTGAGTAATATTGAAGGAATGACATAGAGCTTCACTCTTGCAAACAGTTAAGAAATAGAAGCAAGACTATGGTAGAGCAGCTTTGTGAGTTGCTGCTTATCGACCCTTTCACAATAACTGGCCCACTGCAAACACAAGCTGAACGGATCATCTTACAAGCCCCGATGTGTTCACTCGGGGCAGCAGGTGTACGTGGCGTTCTTTCATGCGGTCTTGCCGGCAGAAATTTGTTAAATCACAGTAATTAGTGGGACAGCTGATCCGTACTTCAGAGAGCCCTTCTGGAAAGGTTATGGTGTGTGTGTTTCCTACATGAGGAATGACAGTCTGAAAGTTCCCCAGGATTGCGCCTGTAAGGGGAATCCCTGCAATTAACTTCCCAAACGGCCCTTTAGCTATTGGCTAGGTTTTGCGTGGGGAATGTTCGTCATTTTCAAGCTAGATTATTAACTTAATTAATAATTCTATCCTCGCTGTTGGTATCTATTGAGAGCATGAGGTTTGTTTGCCCACGCGTAGGTGTCTAGCGCTGCCCTAGGGGACCTGAAGCGGCATCTGTCAGGGGTGGCTGGCAGCACCCTGGGTGACCGGGGACACGGGGCAGCACCTGGAGGCCACATGTTACCGCGAGGCAGTTAAACATTGTCTAAACACCTGTGTGTCAGCAACTGCATCCTGCCCTGAGGGATTCTTCCTGATCTCAAACTGAATCTCACCCTAAAGCATCCATGTAACCTGTAACCCCACCTACAGCTCTACTTTTCTGGATAGCTACATTTCATTGCAGACACAGGAAGAAGTTCAAAGGAACTTCAGGCTGTAACATTGATCACTCAAAAGTTAGCAAATGCCAGAGTTAAGGTTGCCCACATAGTTTCTATATAGTTTTATCTCTTTCTGCATACGTGTTCAGTTGCAGATGTCAGTTCTTCCAGTCTCTATTTTTTTCCTCGAGGCCTCTGCCTCGTCTGGGGCACGGGGCAGAGACTAGTGAGTTAATGACGAGCTGTTGGTTCATTTCAAGTGTGACACGGAGCGTCCTTCACACGCGTGCAGTGCTCGAGTCCTACCATGGAAAGAGAATGATTAATTTCCTCATGAGCTTTTCTGCGGCAGTCATTACCATGGTATCTAGGTGCTTCACAAATATTAAGTTTATTTTCACAACATCCCTATTGAGACGCAGTAATAGGCAAGACGAGGAAGATGCGAGTGTTAAGGACCTTGAAACTGAGAGCAAGAAAC